ACAGGCTTCTGCACTGTAAAAAATCGTGGATGCTCTCATGCAGAAATTTGGGGTTATTTAGTGCTACATTGAATTCACTTGCACTATGGTTTCAAATCCCCTTTGAAACAGAAAAGGTGAGGGTTCTAAAAAAGAATTATCAAGTAGTGACCCTCCTGTCAAAGATAAGCCTGCATTATAACAGGAAAATAAAAGAGCAAGCTTGGCAGTATAACCTGCTAGAGTCTGAACAGATGGGGGGGTGGGGGTGGGGGTGTTTAGCAGCTTGCACAGTGGCATAACTCATGGGGGATAGTGTCAGTGACAGGTTTATAGGAATTCGTGGTGTTGGTACTTCATTTCACTGTCAGGACGATTTCTGTAAATGCTACTGGTGGGTTCTGGTGAGTAAATAGTTAGTAATTTACTGTTATCAACATTAAACTATTTCTGGTTTTGCGTTTACTTTAAAAATGGTGCTTAAAAAAATTCCAAATCATGTCTGATTGACACTGAAGTGCTCTTTACATGAAAGTTTGTTTATGGGCAGTGATTCTTTTGACAGATTTACAAGTGTCTGTGGAGTTTTAAAAGACTATTGCCCAATAGGCATTAAGTGAGAGACATTCTATTTTGTAAATATTTTTCACTTATATTGGGGATTTTTAAAGAACTTTTTGAGCCAAGTACTGCATTAAATCTGAAGACAGTGGCAAGCTGATAATCAGCAGTTTCCAGCTTTTTTTCATGTTTTGCTAATGGTTTCCATTTCTGTGGCCAAGATTTGCAGTGGGTGAAGCATGATCTACATCCAACAATTTGTAAGGGCTTTCAAGTACTATTGCACACTCGTATTTTCTTTTTTTGCAATAACTCATTTAGAAATAAACAATTTTCGAAGTAGCGTATCACATTTAACTTCACGAGCATACAATGCATACCAAGAAAATGAACCAAAAGTTTATTGCAGTAACTGAGAAATTGCATCTGTTTGAACTCAGTAATGCTGAAGCAGGTTCTTTATTTTCTCAAGTGATTATTTTGGATTGAGATGGTGAGAGGAGAAGTGTACATATGCTGTGCTTGCTGTCAGATTTCTCAGAATTCCTTTAGATTTGTCAGAATTTCAGAAAAAAAAAAATTCCAAAGGAAGCTTTTCAGAAGTTATTTCAAAGAAGGAATGCATAGTTGGATCCTTTACCTCATCGTCATTCTAATAAAAATTTGCTAAAATAATTTTCTTTTAGAATGGAAAGGGTTTCTATTGTAGTCAATATGAGAACAAAATATAAAAAAATCATGTAATGTTCCCTCACACATGTTCCAGCATTTTTAGCAAAGAAAATTAAAGCAACTGATGGAACAGGACTTCTCAGTTTTAATTTTTTTGTATAATGTTTGGCATGACGTGGTAATTTTATATATTTTTAAACAGTATATTTCAAGTAAATTTTTGAGTAAACAAACAAGTAGAAAAGAACTTCTGTAACAGGAAATACAATGAATGTTAGTTACCAGAAACCTTTATGTTATGTTGTATAGAACTGCGGCGGGTCATAGAGTTGTATGGTAGCCTTTCACCAATGCTACAAATCTAGGTTGACAAAGACCAGCTGACTTTAATATGTAGAATTACAACTGCCATTTTAATCAAAATCTTTGATTCAGCCTTGTCATGAAAATCTTTTTCCTCTTCTAAGTGTGTCTTTATTTGTATCTGATTTGTGATTCTTTTGAACACACTTCCACCATTGTTTGCCATATCTATCCACAGCAAATTTGATGATGATCCAACGTTCTTAAGCCTAAAAGATAGTTGGTCCTAGCCATCATTTTCTTATAGATATTGGACAAAGAATCGTTATTCTGCATGGGACATTTCGTTATTGAAGGGGAGACTGAAACTGGAGAAATTTCGGCAGGAATACAAAACTTTTGAGACTGCAGTTCCAGCTGAAGTTCATGACTGCCTTCAGCCAGTGACACCATACCTATGTGATGTGTCTGATTTTTAACATTAGCAAGTAAATAAATTCAAGTTTTATTCAAATATTTCAGTGCAATTGACTTTAAACAGAATTAGTTAACCTTCAGTTGCCCAGATACTTTTTTGATTGTAGACCAAAAGTATAGGTTATTAAGTGAAGTATAACCTAAATTCAGAGGCAGTTAAAGGAGGATTAAGCAGTATAGTGCAAATACGTTGCTTTTGCAATTAACAGATTTTCACTTTGTCACCCTTGTTCTTGATTCCTTTAGCTCAAAACTAAAATGGTCTCAGAGCCCTTCAGTCTGTTTTGGCACTTCTCCAAAACAAGTTCAGGAAGTAAACTGGTAGATTTAAGTTTTAGATAAATACCATCAGCAGAGAGAATCATCCAAAGGTCTCTTTTTAAGGCTTTCCAATAATCTAAATTCTTAAGAGTCTGCCAGCATTTACTTGACTTCTTTCGTCTCTTCTAGTTTCATTGTTTCAAGATGGCTTAAGCAATGCGAACTAGTATCTCATCTCATTTCATCTTGTCTCAAACTTTTAAAGTTTTAATCAGCACCCCTTATTCACTTATTCTATGTCATCTGTCTCATTTGCTCTCCTCTTCCGTGCCTTTCTTCTTACTCTTCCTCTCTCCTCATGCCAAATGTGCATCTTCTTGTAAAGGATGTTAGAATTCTTCTTAAGAATTCACTACCCAAATCAGCTGTTTCTCTGTACACTGGTACTTCTTCTTGTTGATATTTTCCTATAGCTTTTGTCATCTGATTACAGTTAATGATAATCATCTTTATTATTTATTTTTTTTTTAATTGAAGGGGGTTTGTATGTGCTTTCTTTTTAATTGAGAAACAATTAATCTTATTCTTGGTCATTTAAATATTTACGTGGGACATATCTGAGTAACCTTCCTGAATTTTGTGTTATTAAAGCTTGTAGAAAGCATCTAGGAAGCTTTCAATACTCCAGACAGGGCATTAGCAACACCATATGTTTGGGAAAACACCTTTCTAGAATATGTTTAGATACTACTGTATATAAGCTTATTATTATAATACATATTCATAGTCATCTACTTCTGTATAGATTTATACAAATTTATTTATGTAAGATTATTATAAAATAATTATTGGCTTGCAATCTTTGTAATAATCATATGCATTTTATAATCACTGTGTACCAAATGCCTGAACGTGATCTGTGTGCTAATACTTTTACACTTTTGTCATTCTATATTTATCTAAAATAATTTCTAAATATCACCTTATATAATTTTCTGTACATTTGTTTAAGCACAAAGAAAAAGCACAAACCTGTAGGTGCTACTTTGTCCAAACTTCCAGTCAGAAACTTGACAGTACTGTCTCAAGTTATTTTTTCCCCTATACAATTCTAATATGTCTCTCTTCTTCCAAAGTAAAGTGTTAAAATTTGCTTGAATAGCTTTAGAAATCTTCTTCTAATTCTACAAACAAAAATGTTAAATATACATAAATTTCATTCAGTGTATGATAACAGTCATGGAAAGTTCAAGTTTTGAATGGTAAGAGGCGTGTATCGTAAGAAAATAATCTTTGTAAGTTGTATAAACTTCCCTGATTTCTGATTTGTTTTCTTTAATTTATTAAAGACACGTAACTGAGCAGCTAATAAAAGACTTTCTTTCCCAATGTGTTATGTTTAAATTAACACTCCATTCGGCCTACTATCCGACATACAAACAAATATCCATTAACTTCACTCTGAACAGTTTCAAAGGTCTGTCTTATGCTACAGGTTGCAAGACTAGCTTAGACTGTAGCCCAGGACAAAAGCTCTGGAGCTCCCCAATAATGTCATAGTCCACAACTTATGTGAGTTGTGGAGGGATGCTACATTAAAATATACACTTAGGTGGGGACAGGTATCTTTTCAGCATTTTTCTGTAACAACTGTCCAAATGTATTTCTGATTTCAAATTATTGAAAAGCTGTCTTTTTCAGTAAGTCCTGGTGGTCCAAGAGTATTATAGGCACACTGCTAGTTGTACAATAAAATGTATGCATCTGTTTTCAACATTACATTGGCTTCTTTCACTGCACTGTAAACTTGCATTAATGTGACACTTTAATTACAAATTATCAACTATTTCCACAGGTTTGTATTAATTTTTGCTGCAATAAGTTGAATTGTGTAATGGTGGTAGCAACATAGTGTGAAATGCAGCCAAAATGTAACTCTTGGGTTTAACTCCAAAATAAATGTCCATCTAAATTTAGCTTCTGGTGAATGAAGAGTTGTGGGGGAAAAAAATCTTATAGTAGTTTATAAATTCACTTGCTAAATGGAAGGTAATTGCATTTTGATTTCTAACAGTCTCATTTCATCTTTAATGTGGAATGCTGGAATCTACGAAGTTTACTAGAAGTTCTAGGAATGTTGAAATTCATTGGTGAATAACCTGGAGTTTTTAGAAATTGGCATGGCATCAGGTGTTAAAATAACAGAGACTGAATAGTAAACAAATTGCAGTTAGATGTTTAACTTTCTTACAGTCTTCTACTATTTCAATATTTGAATACTATTGTATACTATTTGAATACTTAAGTAAAGCTGAATTTCTGCATCTGTGTTAGGAAATGTGCTTGAGTATAGGGTGCTGGGCATTGACTCGTTAAAATCAGTCCAGATACAAGGCATCCTCCACTCACCACAGAAGCAAAGTTTGGAGCTTTAAATGCCATCTAGAATTTGTGTGTGAGGCAAGCTGTTTTGGTGGCAAGTCTCAGCACATGGCTGGAGTTTTGGGATGAAGTCATTACTAATTAGAAATTCCACTCTTTAAACACATATAGAATTTTCTATTTGGTATGCTACACTGGTATTGATATTTTTTATTTTAATGTAGTTGCTGGATTCCTTAGTGCTTATTTATTTGCATTTCCTCTAAACAGTCTAGGTGACTAATTTAGGTGTAGGCTTCTACAGTGTTGATGTGTACTTCTGGTAGACAAATTATGCCACAAATGTCTCTCAACTTCTTTTGTAGCCTCTGAAAAGCAGATGAAGTTAGTTTGTAGAGAGTCTTCTGAAGAGCATCTCCAGCCCTTCAAGGAGAAATTAGAGGAATTCTTCCAGAAAGGTAACCACATTTGAAAAAACCAAAACAAACCAAAAATTAGTGACAAATACTGTAGAGCTTTAAAAAGTTATACATAATGTAACCTGCATTAAATGTCTCTTGCCTCTGAAAATTCCTACTGTCTGTTATGGATTATGTTTGTAATGTGCCTAATAATAATGGTTACACAGATCTCAGACATTACTCATCCAATGTGATTGTTCCCTTGATCTCACCTATTTCCTATTGATTCTTTTCTTCTTTGTTCTTTATCATTATTTGTGGGCAAAATGAAAAAGATATTCACCATAGACCAAATTTATCATCAGTAATATAAAGCGTAAAGTTTATAAAAGACTAGAATAAAAAATACCCTTCTAGAGAAAGTCAACATTATATACATGAAGTAATGGCATCTTTTATCGATATTAGGGGATTATGAACTAATGACTAATTCAGCTTTAAAGATTTTGTCTTGTGTGAGACAGAAATAGGCATAAGGAAGTGATTTACCAGGGTAGAGCCTGGAGACAACAGGGGTGAGATCCAAGGTACAATTTGATCATCAGTTTGAGACAACGTAAACACAGGTTGCTGTTGTTGAAAAAAACTATCCCACTCTCTCCTGTTTCCCAGACTATGTGTTCCCAGTCACCTGCTTCTGCCAGCACCGTTGTCTCTGGACCTGTGCAAAATAGATAAGGGAATAGATTATTACTCCCACCGCCCCACCCCCAGGTTGTAGGAGTACAGACTATTTGGGTAAGCAGAGTAAGTGCTGCATTTCTGATGACTAGATTAAGAATTGTTAGAGAGTTAAATATTACCAAAGGGCTAGTATTTCTCCCAGAACTCATGAACAGTTTAACAATTTAATGTTTGAGGAGTCAAATGAATTATCTGAATCTACTAATTCAGGCAGAATGTTTACTATTAGTGATCATTCAGATTGTTATAATAATTTATTAATTCACTTAATCCTTTTTATAAAGATTGTCCTAATGGCTTTTTATTAACTTTATTTCATTAAGCCATCTTATTAAATACTTTGATTAGTGAAAACAGGATATTTTAAAAGCAGCAGTCCCTGTTAAATTGTACTGTTAAATAATCTAATATTCTTCTTCACTCTTCTCCCAGGCCATAGAGCTCAATGGATATATTTATTTGATATATTTTTTTCTTTTTGTTACAAGTATCTTTGGACAGTACTAAAGCTGTAAATTTCTTGCCACAGAACTCGTAAACCAAAAAAATAATAATGGAATCTTTATGTGACTGCAGAATAGTTGTATTTACAACTTATTTAATTGGAAATTTTCACTTACAGTTTGACAATACCATCAAGATTGAGAAAGTACCATATATATTTCTACAGAACCATTCTGATCTCCAGCATGCTTCTTGATCTTGCTTGCCAAAGTATTGTAGCAGATCAGTGTAATTGTATCTTGTATAGATTAATTGATTCATTGTGCTCTATTAATTAACCTGTTAGAGTGGCTCAGAAGTGAACAGTCTGTATTCTTTCATCAGTACTGGCCAGAAATGCATCAGAGCAGTCAAAATGATAGACTCAGGTACAGATCTGGACCATAATTAAATTTTGCCCAGGCCTTGACAAGACCCTAAACAAATGGTGTCTTCCACAATCATATCACAGATTCTGTAATTCTTAGAGCACCCTGGGTCTCTTGAGGATTGTTGTGGTCAGTCTGGGAGGCAGCTAAGCACCACAGAGCTGCTCACTCTCTCCCCCTCGGTGAGGTGGCAAAGAGGGTCAGAAGGATAAGAGAGAGAAAACCCATGGGTTGAGGTAAAGACAATTTAATAGGGAAAGCAAAAGCTGAGTGCACAAGCAAAGCAAAATAAGGAGTTCATTCGCTACTTCCCATCAGTAGGCAGGTGTTCAGCCATTTCCGGGAAAGCAGGACTTCATCACGTGTAACTACTACTTAGGAAGACAAATACCATAACGCTGAACTTCCCCCCGCTTCCTCCTTCTCCTTCCAGATTTATCGCTGAGCATGATGATAAGCATATGGTGTGGGTTATCCCTGTGGTCGATTTGGCCAATTGTCCCAGCTGTGACCCCTCCCAACTTCTTGTGCACCCCCAGCCTACTTTTTGGGGATCAGCATTAGAAACAGAGAAGGCCTTGATGCTGCTCAAGCACTGTTCAGCAATAGCTAAAACATGGGTGTTATCAGTACTGTTTGCATCACAAATCCAATACACAGCATGGTACGAGCAGCTATGAAGAAAGTTAACTCCATCCCAGCTAAAACCAGCAGAAGGAGCAGCAAATGCATATCACTACAGTCCCAAAAGATAAAGGCAACACAGTACCTGGTTTCTGCTGCAAAGCTGAGCTGCCTTACTTTCTGGCGAGTAGAATATGATAAAAATACCCAGTTGATCATGAAAGAAGACTAGTTCTGCTTTAGAGAAAATTGCAATTTAATTTTGCATTGTCATTTAAAATAGGAAAACATTATTCCTCCAAACATTTGCCCTGTTTATGCCTGTTGATGTGGAAATTGAGGTATATTTATATTTGTCAGCGTAACAGAAAATTTTATCCTTATATTTGTGAACAATGTCTATATTTTACAAAAAAAAAAAAAAGAGAGGATGTGTTCCTGCACAGTGTCCTGGAACAATGAGGGTTTTATATAAAATTATTAAGTTTATTGGACACTTTTTAGCATTTGGGTTTTTTTTGTATTCTAGAAAGAGCAAAACCACATGGATTACTTACTTTTTCTTATGTTTCTTACTTTTTTCATATGTTATCTTGTTCTCCTTTTGCTTTATAATATGTTTTATTGTATCTAATCATACACATTTAATTTTGTCTAATTTAACTTCTCATCTTTTGACATTTGTGCTTCATCTACCTTTTCTGTGATGAGTTGTCAGATCCTGTAATTATTGACCTTATTTCTCCTTCAGTCACCTGATTGATCTGAATCCTTATAATAGGTGGGTTGTACTTTCTGTGGCATTAGAATGGAAATCCTATAAACATCTACACTGAAGATAGGTAAAAATAATACAGAAACCAGTCTTGATTTATGGTACTAGAATAGGCATTGGACAAATGTCAAACTCAGAGGTTCAGTTTAGATAAGAGTCTGGAAACAGCTGCTTCTCTAAAATAAGGAGTTAACTGATAATACTGAGCATCCATTAAGCATCTGCTTCCAGTTTTGTTTGTTTAAAAAAGAGTTGTGGCTGGTTTAAGCAAATGTAAGAAAAAATTGTCTGTTATCTTTCTGCCAGCTCACAGCAAGTATCCAAAGCTCAGATGCTTTTCTAAAACTTCTGGCTTGAAAATAGGGTTGGATCTCATAGACATTCAGGTTTTTCTTACACACACAATTTCTCATCATTTCTAGTCAATGCTAAGTTGGAAATATTGCAAGAAAAAAACATATTGATTTGCTCAAACTGAACTGTTTACATTTCCTAATTACAATTAATACCAATTAAATCTAATACTTGCTGTGTTGTAACAAAAAACACTGAGAGTGTTATGGAGACTGACATTCTAAAATGCTAGAGGGGATAAACTGTACTTCTGCTGATGTCAGTGCTGTTTTGTGTAACTGGATGTAACGTAGCCTAGTGCCTTCAACAGGGAATTAGGTGCCAGAACCTTTAGGTTCTGTTCCCAGTTTAGCTACTTGACATGTGATGCTAGAATAGTTGGTTAATCTCTTTTTCAGAAAGCGCTTCACTTTTCTAGTACACAGAATGTTGAATAATGATTCTTGCTATTTTTTGTAGTGAAAGATAATCTTTGTCAAGTATTTTGTGATTCCCACATGAAAGATGCATAAACTGTGTTAATACTTCATTAGCCGTATTTGATATGCCTGTGCTTTTTGAAAAAGGCTTAGATTATTCTCAAAACGGAAATAATCTTTAGTAGATTTAATTAAATTATATGCAACAAATTATATTTTGTTTACTATAATATGGAGAACTAAGAATTACTGTAATTTAGTATATACTTACTGTATTTCCACTGGAATTACTGTATGGGTGTTTTTCAGAAATAAGTTCATAATGTTTTCCATTTATCATTTGAATTGCCATGATATGCAAAAAGGACTTTGAAATCATAAAATTAATGGTTGGTTTGGAATGCTCCTTAATGCATGAAATTCTTGATCAGAATTTCTTAGCTTCATATCAAAAGAGGATTTTTCTTCTATCTCACACACGAAAAAAAAAATCAGAATAGTTAGGTGAATATGCCAAAGATGCAAAATACTCTATTTTGTAAAGGAGAAAACAAAGAGTTTTGTTACTGCAGCTATGAAGCTCACTAGAAGGGCTGCTGGCCAGTAGCCATTGATGTTAGTTTTTCGTGATTTTTTTTTTTTTATTCTTTTTGTGCCTTCTCTCAGGAATAATACAAACCAGAAAGTAAATGACATACAGGAGTAGGCGACTAGCCTTAATAAAACTTATTTCTTACTTTGCCACTTGACTATTTCATATCGTTTGTCCATTTTAATAAATATGGAAATGCATAACACGGATTCATGCAGGATCTTGCAAAATCTGATCTCAAATTCCCATTCATTAGTTCCAGGTCAGAAAGTATGTGAAAACTTTAATCTGGGCTTGATTTCCTTCCTCACATACTAGAATGTGCAAATCAAAAGGCTTTACGCTTCATAGCAGTTAGCATAGGAAGAGCATAGCTGCCTCTCTTCATGTCTCTAAGAATAAAGCATGCTGATGGTGAAGACTTTGCTATTAAAGGAATTCATTTAGTTTACAACAGAGCCTGGGAAGCAAATAGCCTGATGTCAAGACAGTGCAGTTTTTGAAAACTGTTAATAGTGGAAAGCAAAGCTATTTGGGAAAGGCACGTGATACACTGAAGTGTCCAAGGTAACAGGCAAGATAGAGAGGGAGGGATTTGTCAAATAGAATAGATCTGTTGAGATTAGTCCCATAGTAAAAGAAATTGTCCTGTGTTTAGAATTCTAGCCTAGCGCTCG